GTGACTTCAAACCAGCTCTTTCCCTTTCTGCGTCTGCAGAAGGGATCTCACAGGGCTGCCTCGTCAGAGAGGACCTGAACCTGTCATCCTCTTGGGAGGAGCCACGCCTTCCCAGGGCTCGTGCCTCCTTGGGGACCAGAGGGATCCCTGCATCCAAGAACTCGGAGCATTGTACCCCTCTTCCGGTGGGCGGAGGCATCTCTGGTCCCTGTGGGCCCCTGTGGGCTTTCTGAATACCTCTGTGCTTCAAGTCCCACTGCAGAAGCATGCCAGGAGTGCACATGATTCACCCCAGGAGACTGGGCTGGCTTCTCGCCCTGGAGGGTCACCCAGCCACCAGGCCAAATAAAGTCTCACTGTTCTCAACTCTCCAGGTTTTGAAAAGCCAATGCCAGGTCAGACTCAAAGTTCGCCACACAGACCCCGAGCTCGTGTCCCCCAAACCCAGGAACTACAACACAAGCATGCCAGAAGACCACCAGTGCCGGAGGGCCTCACTCTCCTGCCCGCCACCCATCAGCTTCCCACCTCTGGAGAGCCATCCCAGGAGGCCACAGCCCACCCTGGGCATCCCGGCAGTGCGGCTGTAGGTTGAAGAGGTGGCTTGGCTTTCAAAGAGTTCATGAAGCCCAGACCTGGATCAGGCAAGAAGTGTTTTCCAGGTGGTACGGGGCACGCCAGGGCTTGATCTCGCCGCCTCCATTCTTCCAAGGCACTCTTAGCTGGGCTGCGCCCGGCCAAATCATACTCACTTTCTGGGAGGCCAGGTACTCCATGCCTCTGGCCAGCTGGTAGGTGCACGACACCAGGTCCTTGAAGGTCATCTGCTCCTCGGGCACACGGTTGATGTCGTAGGAGTACTCCATCCCGGGCGGCCTGCGGGCGCGGAGGTACTCGCGGAGGTTGCCCTTGGAGGCATACTCAACTATGACGTAGAGCGGCCCTGTGGGAGAGGAGACAGGTCATACATGCTCTAAACACGCAGCACGCAGAACAGCGCACAGGCAAACAACGCACGTGCACTCCGATCTCCCCAGATTGACGCCGTGACTGCCTCCCACAAACGAACAAAACTCATCACCACGGAGTCGATGCCCACCATCGCGGCCCAGGCCCCGCCCTCTGGTGGGTCTGAGGCTGTAACCGTTGATGGGAGTCAACCACCCCGGTGGGTGGTCTCCAACTGCCCACCGTGCCGACCGCAAGCAGCCTGACCCCAAACCACTGCAGCGCCTGGGCTCCGACGGCCGGAAAAGTGCTTAGAAAAGAAAAACGACGACACACTGGCACATTCTCTTGCCATCATTCCATTGTCCTGAGCACCTTCCTCAAATGCAATCCCATGGTCCACTTGAGCCCAGCAGTACGTCCATCCGTCCTTGGAGGTGGCCCTCGCTAGTGTACATACACGTGTGCCTTTTGAGGCACAGACATGCGGAACAGAGGCGTGGCTCTGTAACGCGTTTCCTCCGCCTGGCGCCCTGTGCCACAGTGGCTGGCTCCTTGGGCAGCTAACTGCAAGGTGGGCAGTTCAAAACCAACCGCTGCTTTAAGAGGAGGCTTTCGACGCCCAGGGTTTCAGTCTTGGAAAACCAAGGGGGCAGTTCCCCCCGTCCTGCAGGGTCTCTGTGAGCCATCACTGACTGGACGGCAGTGAGTATGATCGCTCAGGTAAAGAGAGACCAGAAGCCATGTTTGATGGTTCATCCCTCTCTCCGAGCGCTTCCGTATTTCCAACGTGGGGTCAGGGCCAGCAGTGCACTGCAGACCCTCCTGGACGGGTTTCCCCTGGGCATATGCGATCATTTCTCTCCACGTGGACAACACTGCCCGTGTTCTTTTCTAGACATTTGCTTTCTACTGAGCCCTCAGTATCAGCTCCTGCCTCCCACTTCCCCCTCCCCCACAACCCCTTGCTAGATTATAAATTGTTATTATCTTCATATCTCACACCGACTACTGTCTCCCTTCCCCCATGTTTTCTGTTGTCCTTTCCCCTGTAGAGGGGGGTACGGTTATGTGTCAAGCATTACGATTGTTCCCCCTTCTCCCTTCCTCTACCCCTCTGGTATCGCTAGTCCCACGCCTGTTCCTGGACTCTGTGTCGTGAGCTCCCATCTCTTATCCACACCTGTGCACATGTTCCGGACTAGTCTGAATTGAGAAGCCGCACTGGGGTCACAGTCGTAGGGGATGAGGAAGCCACCAGGAGCCAGACCTCCAGGGGTTTTAAAAGGAACCGAAAGCGAGCCTGCGAGACAGCCCGGCACCCACTGGTTTCCATTCACAGGTAGCCTCGGCCTCGGAGCGGCTGCACAGCAGCAGGTTCACTCACCGTCCTGGGTGCAGGCTCCGAGGAGATTGATGATGTTTTTGTGTCTGCCGATCATCTTCATCATCTCCATCTCGGAGACCAGGTCGGAAAGGTCTTTCTCGGTGGCGTCGTCTACAGACAGCAGGGAAAACACAGGTCGGTCTGTGTCCTTGAGCTCAGCCGGAGTCCCGGATGCTGGGAGCCGCCCTCGAGCTCAGGACAGCCCCATGCATAATGGGAGCCGACCACCTCTGTGATCCACCGGCTCGCGCTGGGAAGAGAACACCAGGCCTTTCTTCCTCTGACGGATGCTCTGGCCGGGATTCGAACATGGGTCTCTACCAGCTCCCGGCCCATCACATAGACACAAAGCAAATACAGCATTCGGGCTCACAGTCCCCCTGTTTCTAAGGCTGTGACACTCGTAGGCTGCTGCGTCTTCCTCCCGCGGCGGCCGACTGGTTCAAGATGCCAACCCCTGAGCTCTGAGCGGAGCACCTAACCACTGCGCCACCAGGGGCCTCGCCGCCGCCACCTCCGTTAGCTGCTGAAAACTTGGTTGAACTGTGAGACTGGCGTTTAGCACCAGAAAAGGTGTTCCCAGGCCTCTAGCCTGCCTCCCTCAGTCATCAGCAAAGGGGCGGGGCTCCCTCCGTAGAGGGTTCCACCTAGTTTGGGACCCCTGGGGAAGTGGGGCGCCTATTCTTTCCAGTGACCTTCACTCATGCGGGCAAGTTTCCCTCTGCCAGGAAATGGCCCCACCCACGGCAACCCTGAGGACCATGGTGGGAGCCGGCCAGTCAGGACCCATTTCCCCAGGCCCAGAGCCCCTTCCGAGGGCCCCCGCGCCATGCCCGATGTCTGGGCAGAAGGGAGGGTGTGCCACACGTTTAGAGGGGACCATGGCTTCTCAAAGGGGCAGCAGGTCACCCTAAGAAAGGACGTTAGCCCTCTGCTTTCTCCTTGCCACCAGCAATGCCAACATCAGGGGCTCACAGTCACCTTCTGGGAAGACCAGACTCTCCCCACAACCCCCCTCTCCAGGTTAATTCAATATGGGCAATGTCTGGCTGACATCAAAAAAAAAAAAAAAAGAATGAAGTTGGGGCACAAATAGGAGCCATGTTGGGAAAATGGTGTTTTCAGCTTTACAAAGCAGACACTGATGAGCTTAGGGGGTGAGCCACGCAGGAGGCTCTCTGTGGCCACGTCTCCAGGCGGGTGGTCCTCTCTCGCCGCTCTCAGGCACCCCCTGGCTGCCCAAAGGGCCCTGACCTTAAGTGAAGGCCGGCACTGGCACCACAGGGCAGAGAGAGCCCCCAGCCTTCCCTCCAGGTAGCACTGAGCTCCCGAACCCAAACCCAAAGTTCGGCCTGGAGAGAAGCAGAGGCCCCAGAGCATGCAGGTGAGAGCAGGGGACTGCCTCACCTGGGCCCGAGGTGGCCAACATCCAACCCCAAGACGGGGTCCACCTTCAGCCACCCCGGTTCTCCTGGGGAGCCCTGCTAGCTTGGCAAGTGTTGTTTTGACGATTCCCGCCTGTGACTTCCCATCAGGAAGAGCTGTGCCAGCTCTCCCAGGAGAAGTCGTGCAGGAAAGGAAGACTGTACTCTCGCTGTAATGGGCACCCCACCTCCCACGGGGGGGCTTCTCTACTGAGCACAGGGACAGCTCAGCCCCGTGCAGCACTTAGCTCTCTGCCCAGGGCCCCATAGCAGGCCTCCCTCCGCAGAGGAGCACAGCAGGTGCGAGTGTGTTCACAATGACAAGTTCTGCACGTTCCTGGGATGGAAAGGTTATCGCAGAAACAGTCAGCCTCCCAAGAAAGCAACGTGACATTTACGCTTGGGGGTCGACAGTTTCCATGTTCCAGAAGATGCTGCCGCAGGCCGGATCCTGCTCGGGCCTTTTGGACCTCCTCGTGACCCTCCCTGGCCAGTGTCAACGGCCGAGCTCCTCTCCAGCAAAGAGATGCCATGCCAGCCTCCCCTGAGCCTCCTTGTCGTAGGTGTTCGCTAAGTGGGGTCAGTGCCAATTCTCGGTGTCCTGCCGCACAACACGGCAAAGCCCTGCCCGGACCCGTGCCATCCGCAGCAGCTCAGTGGAGCTTGTAGTAATCCAGTGTTCTCCTCGTTCTTCCTGACCCCAACTTGAATGAAACACGCTGCCCTTTTCTGGGGACAGGCCCTTCCTGATGGCGCCTGCCGATCCACCATGTCTTCTTTTTTTAATTACTATTTTCTTTAAAAAAAAAATCATTCTATTGGGGGCTCTTACAGTTCTTATAACATTCCACACATCGCTTATATCAAGCATATTTGTACGTATGTTGCCATCACCATTTCCGAAACATTTTCTACTTGAGCCCTCGGTATCAGCTCCTCTTTTTTCCCCTCCCTGCCCCACCTTCCCACCCTCGTGAATCCTTGATCAATTATATATTGTGTCCTGCTCATACTTCTAAGGAACATCCCGGCTGGGTACCTTCTGAGTCCACAAACCTCCTGGTCTCCCCCTAAACGTCAAATTTGCCAACTAAGAACTGAGCAAATCCCATGGGCCAGTCCCGACCTGCCTTAGGCAGCTGGGTGCGATTCGGTGCCTTCCAAGCACACAGGAGATGCAGGGAAGGAAGATCCACAGCCTTCCCCGACGAGGACACAATCGCCTTCTCAAAACTGCCTCCGCCAAGTAACACGGCCCAAGGTCAACCGTCTGTCCAAGACGCTGATTTATTCCAAAAACTTCTCAACCCCGAGGTCAACTATGTGCCCTCTGACCCCTGTCACGCTGGAGATCAGATGCCCCAGAGCAGTGCTCCTCATAAGAGGCTCCCCGCCCACCCCCCAGCTCACCTTTCAGCATCTTCACAGCCACGGTGACGGCTTCCTTGGGCCTCTCCTTGTCGATACCCATGGCTTCGGCCATGACCACTTGCCCAAAGCAGCCTTCCCCAAGGGGCTTCCCCAGCGTCAGCCTGCACGTGGAGATGAGGGATTAGCACACCGCATCTGGTGGAGGGAGGGGTGCAGCGAGCGGAATTCCAGGAGGGAATATAAAAACCTCCCAGCAGCCTGCGGAGCCATGGAGCGTGTGTCATATGGAACCAATGAGACCCCCCATCCCCCGCCCACCCTCCACATGCGTGCCCCAGTGCCTTCCGAGAATGCCAATCACTGGTGGGGCCCGCTATTGCTTGTCGCCGCCCGTTGTTTTCTCTAGGGAAGGCGTGCTTCCTGGCCAGGAAGGTGGTCAGCTTTCTCAAAGGCCAACACTACAAAGTGTCTTTGATCTGGGACCGGTGAACTATGCATGAAGTGGAGGGGCTCAAACAGGAGAGTGGCGGGGACCTGGCCACCTGAACATTTCTGATTCACAGTGACTATTCCAGGACCGATAGGACCTTCTGGTCACATGTCCCCCGCCCAGTGACATGGCCCGAACCTTCTTCCAAAACCCTTTCCAGAGCCTGACATTTGTCTCCAGTCATGAAAAGGAAGATTCGTGGTTCAGGACCCCACATCGACCCAGTGCCGCCACGGAGAAGACCAGCTCTCCACCCTGCAAACGCCCCCTCCCCAAGCTCATGTCACACGAATGGCCTCATGCTGTCCTAAGGCACTCTGGAACCCCAGCAGAAAGGAGAAGCCTTTGGAACACTTATGAATGTGGTTTTGTAACGTAAGCCTAGCACGGCCCAGCCGTGGGCTGCCATCGGTAAACAGTATTTACGGTAAGCACACACACGTTTGGAAAGGTTCACGCTCAGGGTGGGAAGGGGGAGGGGGGAGCAGTGTATGCTATGCTGAGGTCATTCCGTTTCTCTCCAGGACGAAAATTAAATTTAACATCTTGGCAGAAAATAAACATTTGCATTGGAAAAATGGCTAATTTATGTCCTACTGCCCTGCTATACAAGCAGAACAATCCTTTCTTTGTGTAACTTTTGCCCCCAATCTAATAAACGGCTTCTAAATAGCCTTCATTCATTGGAAACCTGCTCTGCCTACGTCTGTGCTGTGCAGTGTTTTGAAACGTTTAGCACTCAGATTTTCCACACTTGGGGCGCCCCTTGGGTGGGAGCTCCTGGTTTGCGCGGCACACACAGACGCCCACTGTTGACTGAGATGTCACAGGTGGCTGAAGCTACAGGCTGGACCTGGGGGTGGCAACAACTCCCCAGTTCAGTCAGTCATCTGTATGTAGGAATGTCCATATGAGCTGGCCCTGCACGTGGGGTTGCCCAACAACGAGGGAGCTGGGAGGCCTCATAAGGAACATTCTTCTTTTCTCTCCACCTCCTGCAGGCGAAGAACCAACATCTTGTACATGCCGTGCAAGTGATCTTGGGTGGGTGGACAAGTGGGTGGATACATGGATGGATGGATGGATGGATGGATGGATGGATGGATGGATGGATGGATGG